GTGATCGGTGCTTGTTTTTAATATAGTTCATGTTGGAGAAGACCTGCTCACATACATATGTGGAAGAGACCACAAGGGCCATCGAGTCCAACCCCCTGCCAAGCAGGAAACACCATCAGAGCACTCCTGACATATGGTTGTCAAGCCTCTGCTTAAAGACCTCCAAATAAGGAGACTCCACCACACTCCTTGGCAGCAATTCACCAAACTTTCACCTGCTTAAGTTTAAAAAGGGGCTTCAAGCAACTAAAAAGGGGCTTCAGGCAACTAACTCCACGTGGAATTCCACGCGACCGCGACTGCATAATCAATGCCACAAAATGCCAAAGAAAATTAACCAGGGCCCCAGTGAACCATAAATCATAATCAGTGCCTGATGTAAATAATAATTAATAATGAGGGCCCAATGTCATCCTCATCATTATAAAAATAATCCCTCTCTTCGTGCCGCCCAGCCTCCCAAGAAAAAAACCCCACTTCAAACGGTCACAAAGCACAAATTCCACGCGACCGCGACTTGCTATGCCCAATAATCAATGCCCCAAAATGCCATAGAAAATTAATCAGGGCCCCAGTGTACCATAAATCATAATCAGTGCCTGATGTAAATAATAATTAATAATGAGGCATTCGTCATTATAAAAATACCGTATTTTTCGCCCCATAGGACGCTCCGTCCCATAGGACGCACCTAGTTTTTTTGGGGGGAAATAAAGGGGAAAAAATTTCCCTTTATTTCCCCCCAAAAGCAGGTCGGGGAAACTGAACCAGGTCGAGGAACAGCGGGATGGCGGCGCTTCGCCTCCCTGCTGTCCCCCGAGCTTGTGGGGCTGGCCGATGCCTGCGGGGCGGCAGGCTGCTATCCGCAGCGTGGGGAGCCTTGCCGGACTTCCCGGCAAGGCTCCCCACGCTGCGGATAGCAGCCTGCCGCCCCGCAGGCATCGGCCAGCCCCACAAGCTCGGGGGACAGCAGGGAGGCGAAGCGCCGCCATCCCGCTGTTCCTCGACCTGGTTCAGTTTCCCCGACCTGCTTTTGGGGGGAAATAAAGGGAAATTTTTTCCCCTTTATTTCCCCCCAAAAAACTAGGTGCGTCCTATGGGACGGAGCGTCCTATGGGGCGAAAAATACGGTATTTTTATAATGACGAATGCCTCATTATTAATTATTATTTACATCAGGCACTGATTATGATTTATGGTACACTGGGGCCCTGATTAATTTTCTATGGCATTTTGGGGCATTGATTATTGGGCATAGCAAGTCGCGGTCGCGTGGAATTTGTGCTTTGTGACCGTTTGAAGTGGGGTTTTTTTCTTGGGAGGCTGGGCGGCACGAAGAGAGGGATTATTTTTATAATGATGAGGATGACATTGGGCCCTCATTATTAATTATTATTTACATCAGGCACTGATTATGATTTATGGTTCACTGGGGCCCTGGTTAATTTTCTTTGGCATTTTGTGGCATTGATTATGCAGTCGCGGTCGCGTGGAATTCCACGTGGAGTTAGTTGCCTGAAGCCCCTTTTTAGTTGCTTGAAGCCCCTTTTTAAACTTAAGCAGGTGAAAGTTTGGTGAATTGCTGCCAAGGAGTGTGGTGGAGTCTCCTTATTTGGAGGTCTTTAAGCAGAGGCTTGACAACCATATGTCAGGAGTGCTCTGATGGTGTTTCCTGCTTGGCAGGGGGTTGGACTCGATGGCCCTTGTGGTCTCTTCCACATATGTATGTGAGCAGGTCTTCTCCAACATGAACTATATTAAAAACAAGCACCGATCACGCCTCACAGATGACAGCTTGCAAGCCTGTGTGAAAATGAAGGTGACGTCTTACAGCCCTGATGTGCAGACACTGAGCACTGAGGTTCAGGAGCAAAAGTCCCATTAACCTGGTTACCTGGTTGTAAATTAAATATTTTAATTAGCTATTAATTTGTCCTTTTTTCTTGAGATTGACAGCTGACTGCACGATCCTGTATATATAGCATTAAGGCCAGAAACAATATATGTAGTGTTATATTTGTTTTAAATGTTGCAATGTTTTTGCGGCTCCCAGTTGTTGTTGTTTTTTCGGAAACGGGTCCAAGTGGCTCTTTTTGTCTTAAAGGTTGCAGACCCCTGACTTAGAGCCTTTTCAGTCAGTGAAATGGTGTGTGGAGAAAAGTTCACACACCCACACCCAGCACAGTGACTTTGATCCATTTTTTCCTCCCCCATGTCTACTTTTATACATCACTCAGTAGATCCAATCATGGGTCTTGGGTGTCTCATCTAGTTCAGTTAAGTGTGAAGTTTAAGTGAGAGAAGAGATTTCCTTTCTCTAAAGCTGGATAACATGGATTTCAATTTCAGGTTAGAACAGTTCAACACAATCTGAAGGTGCATGAAAAGAGCACATTTTCATCAAGAGCTAGGTCTCGAAAGGCTCTCAAGAAGCTGGAAGAAGCCATTGAAAGAAACAAAACAAGAAATAGAGAAAGAGACTTCTGCCCTGGACTGGAATCTGCTTTTGCAAAGTGTGAGTAAAATGAGTTACAAAAATATAAATCTGAGTTTACCAGATCTTGTATTTACCAAGAATTTTCAACTATATATGCAGGATCTTGTGATTAACTGGTTTATAGACTAATTTATATACTATAGGACCGTAATTTAAGATATATAGCTTCTCAATTCAAATATCATGGCAAACCTCTTTCTGATTCTAGTTTGCTGACTCATCACAAACCATGGTTCATTGATTCAGGTATCGCACCAAATCATAGGTGTGTTTGTTGGGATACTGCCAGGAGATAACATCCATCTGAGCCCCCAAGCCGGCTGCCGGACGATCCATCGATCTCCCGTAGTCACGCAGTCACGCAGTATCAGCAATTAGCGACATGAAGCCTCAGAAATAGCTTGCCACATTCTTAGGCTGGTGCACACTCTTTCAGCAGAATCCACACAGCAAAAGATGCACAGCAGGAGAGCATATTTACAGTTTATTCAATGTTGGTCAGAACAAAGAAAAGACATGACCGCCTGCTACAGCGTTCAGGCACGAAGAAGAAACGAAAGCAACTGAAAACCATAAACATCCTGTGCAACAGGAAATACGCAGACTCTGTGACTCACAGCCTGCTCCATTTAAGGTGGAACGGAAATATCCTAACAGTGTTAACCATGGTTTGGCTTTGGGTCCAAATTGAGATAGTATGCAAAACTAGTGAATCCAAGATAGCCACATAATATCTGGAAAGATGGTTATACTTCAAATATTGTTTATAATTGAGTACACATTAAGTTTCTTTAAACCTACAAATTGCAGAGGTTTGAAGATGGAATCTAACAATTCTAACTGTTTTAAAGGTATTCAGAGTGATAAGCAGTCTATAACAGAATACATCAATGAACAGAAAGAGTTGTTTCTACTGGAGGTAACCATTTTGTTTCGTGTAGTTGGTGCACTTAAAAATGGGAAAGTTCTAGTTACAGGAGCTTCAGCTACACACTGGAACATTTCTGTTTATTTCAGAACAGATCACTAAATCAAAGCAATTGAGCACTAAACATGGTGGCTGTAATGGCACTGATTTTGTTTGGAATAAATCATCCTTTAATACGCACTCACTGTCTTAATTCTCAACTATCCTTCATTATTTACTATTTAGTGTCCTGACTAATTATATTGGTTAGTGAATAAGCCTGAGTATTCCATTCTGGCCCCATGCACAATTAACAGCATAATAAACCTGCCCAAGGGAAGACAGAAAAAAAGTTTCTGACTAAAAACCCAAAGATTCCATAAACCCCGATTTACCCTTAAGTTAATGAGAATATGGTTTCTCTGTAGCATGCACTAGCCGTCTGATAGGACTATTAACTTCACTGCTGTTAGGATGAGAATGCTCGATCGAAA